TTAATGGATAAATAATATAGGGGAGGAAGGGGAAAAGTATGCCTTAGCAGCTTGACCATTTTGTATCCATTTTTTCTTCATTTTACTGATTTATTAAATGTATAGACATTCAGGCTGGAGTGCAATAAAACATAATTTTAAACAAGCCAAAATTAAGGAACGATAGGGATAGCCAATAAATGTTAATAGCAGTATTAAAATTACTGACAACATCAGTTTAAGTTGTTTAACCTGAATTCCGTCAGGTTTACTACTTCCGTGGAGAATAATAGTAAATCTGAATGTAATTCAAGTATCTTTGCTAATTTATTTATTGCAAAGGGTCTCCAATGATAGATATATTCAGCTTTCCCATTTATGATTAATTGTCATATTCTATTGTTATTCTTAAATTAAAACCTGGCTTATAAGGAGATGTGTTCTCATTAAGCTTTCATTAAAAATGATTTCCCCACCATGTAGATAAAATAATATAATTTAGGCAAATGTGAGTAGGACTAGACCAGAGCTGTCCAACCTTAGCAACTTTAAAACTTGTAGACTTCAACTCCCAGAATTCCTCAGACAACCATGCTGGAAGTTAAGTTCCCAACTCTTAAAATTGCCAAGTTTAGACTGTACTGTATTGTACTGTTTAAGATAGTGACATCAAAGGCATGAAAGTAGGATATAGCATAGATAGGGAAGCAGAATCCATCAGGAATTCCTTCTCAAACATGTCCCTTGAAAAAGGCTTAACTGGAACTGGTGTCTTATATTCAGTTATCTGAAAAAGCTGTTCTGCCCTCTTATAGATACTGTAATAATTCATCCTTTATAATAAAGGGCAGATCTTTATTTCAGAAAACTGTCCTTTAGATTTCTTTATTTTTCAAACAGTCACTTTTGACCTTGGCAAGTGTTTTGGTCATTTAACATTTACTGTACAATGGTACACTTAGTGCCCAGTCTTCTACATTAATGTGGGGAAAAGGGGGAAATTGGATTGTCTTTTTAACATAAAGTTACGTTTACTGTTTCATTTTAGGTATTTTTATCAGAAAATGTTTTTCTTCTAAAGTTTTTTTTTAAATTTTGCTCTTAAATTTTATTTGTAAAGCAAGCTCATAAATATAAAAAGAATTATTATAAACAGTAAGCAACATGTTTATCCTCATGAATATCTTTCAGATTTGCCCCCTTTTCAGGTTCATCCTTTATATTTTCCAAGAAAATATGATCACTGTATCTGTAGGGATGCTTCTAAATGGATTTATTTATCTGCCCAGGTGCGGATGGCACAGCTTTGCCTCAGTCCACCAAATGTTATGAACATCTTCAGTGTGTTTTATGTCTCCTCAAAGCTCCCAAGAGACTCATGCACCAAAGTGTAGTCCAGCTTCTTTCCATATCTTATTGGAAGCTTCTTCTGGCTACTGGATTTGTCAGAGAAGACAGAGCAAATGTCATGAAGCGGCACATTATTTTACTTGTAGAACCAAGGGTGGCACATTGATTTGTGAAGCAGCTTTAAAGCTTGTTATATTCCAACTATCATTGCATTCCCAACATTGTTCAGTTTTTATGACCATAATAGCCCTCATTCCTGACAGAAAAGCAAAAATACAGAACATTATAAAGAAACTCCATCTTACCGTCATGGACAAGCAAAATCAGCTTCCTTATCCATTCAGAATGTGAAATTCAGTAAAGGGCCGGAGTTATAACATTTGTACATCACTAAGCAAATGGATGAAATTAAGGCAGCACTTACTTTCAAATAAAGAAAGATTCTACTTCCTCATCACTCATGAAATAGGGATCGCCACCAAGGATTTAAACAAGTGACTGCCACGTTTGCAGAGCATATTTCGTGTTCTAAAGGAATTTTACATCTTTAGAACTAAGACCATGATCTTAGTGACATTATTATTATTATTATTATTATTATTATTATTATTATTATTATTATTTATTGGTTAATCTTTAGTGAGATTCACAGCTTTTGAGGCTGGTTAATAGCTCAGCAGCTCGAGTCCTAACCAAGGACCTAGGAACTGTTAAGGTATCGTCGGAGGATGTAAGCTGTTCCGAGTAAGGTGGGTTTTTGTAGAGTCAAAATGTTCAAGTCCGGCAAATTTAGAATTTCTAAATAGCGGGGTAGCCCTTTGGGTATTGCTCCGAGGGCTCCAATTACAATCGGGACAACACACGATTTCTTTTTCCACAGTCGCTCAACTTCAATTTGTAAGTCCCGGTACTTTGTGATTTTTTCTTGCTGCTTATCTTCAATTCGTGCATCACCAGGTATTGCAATGTCAATGAACCATACTTTTTTCTTTTCAACTATTGTTATGTCAGGTGTGTTGTGGACCAAGTGCCTGTCAGTCTGAATCCTAAAGTCCCACAAGATCTTGAGTTTCTCATTCTCTAAAACTTTCTCAACCTGATGTTCCCAGTGGTTTTTGCTGTACTCAAATCCAAACTTCTAGCACAATTTCCAGTGAATGATTTTAGCAACACGGTCATGGCATTGTAGGTAGTCAGTTTGTGAAATTTTGCTGCACCCACTGATCAGGTGGTCAACTGTCTCTTCTTTTTCATTGCAGAGGCGGCATTTGCTGTTGATGGTAACATGTTGAATTTTTGCCTTCATACAGTTTGTGGCTAGGGCTTGTTCTTGAGCTGCCAAAATAAAGCTTTCTGTTTCTTTTTTCAGTACTCCTGATCTTAACCAGTTCCAAGTTAGTTTCTGGTCAGCTTTGCCTTCAATACTTTTTAAGTATTGGCCATGCAGAGCTTTGTGTTTCCAATTTTCAGCTCGCTGCTCAATTACTTCTTTCTTATATTCTGCTTTTGTTTTACTTGTCTTTAAAAGGCCTCCTTTATTTACTTCCTTAATCATTGGTTCTTCACTTTTCTGGATGTAACCATTCAAGCTGCATTTTTCTTCTTCCGCAGTCTGCTTTACTTGTAGGAGTCCTCGACCACCCTCTGCTCTTGGTAAATATAATCGGTCAACATCACTTTTAGGGTGCAAGGCATGATTCATTGTCATAAGCTTCCTTGTTTTTCTGTCCAAATTGTCTAACTCCATCTGGGTCCAGTCAATTATTCCTGCAGAGTATCTAATCACAGGTATAGCCCAGGTATTTATGGCTTTTATGATGTTTCCTCCACTCAATTTGGACATTAATATCTTACGAATTCGTCGAATGTACTTGGCTGAAGTTAATTCCTTGACTTTATTATGCATTAAGTCAGAGGCTTCTAAAATTCCCAAGTACTTGTAGCCTTCTTCTGATTTTACTGCCTTTATCATTTCTTCATTCTCTAGTTCTATTCCATCCTCTTCTATGATCTTGCCTGCTTTGGTTGCTATTGTTGCACATTTGTCAATTCCAAACTGCATACCAATGTCTTGGCTGAATTCTTTTGTGTTTTCAATTAATAAATTCAGTTCAGCTTTTGTTTTACCAAACAGCTTCAAATCATCCATGTACATCAAGTGCGAGATTTTCAGTCCTTTCTTTGCAAGTTCGTATTCACAGTTCATCTTCTTCAAAATGATTGTCAGTGGTAGCATTGAGAGTATAAAAAGTAGGGGTGAAAGGGAATCGCCCTGGAAAATGCCTCGTTTAATTTCAACTTTACCCAGTTCTTCTTCATTAGCCATAAGTTTTGTTTTCCAGAGGTTCATTGAAGATTCCATGAATTTTTGTATGTTGCTGCTGATGCCTAATATTTCCAGGCATTTCTTGATCCAGCTATGGGGAACTGAATCAAATGCTTTCTTATAGTCTATCCAAGCCATGAACAGGTTGGTTCGTCTTTTCTTTGAGTTCTTTAGGATTAGCTTGTCGATCAGCAATTGATCTTTTGTTCCTCTTGAGTTTTTGCAGCATCCTTTCTGTTCTACAGGAAGCAAGTTATTTCTTTCCAGGTATCCATAGATTTGGTTTGCAATGATACCAGTAAGAAGCTTGTATGTTGTTGGCAAGCAGGTGATTGGCCTATAGTTTCCAGGGTCCTTTCGTTTTTCTTTATCTTTTTGGATCAAAAATGTCCTTCCAGTTGTCATCCATCCATCATTTTCAGGTGTTTTTAGGATCTGGTTCATCTGGGTTGCCAATCTTTTGTGCAGACTTGAAAGTGCCTTTAACCAGAAGGCATGCAGCTCATCCGGTCCAGGTGCACTCCAGTTCTTCACTTTTCTTGACTGTCTTTGCACCATTGCTTTTGTTATTTTCACGTCTTCCATTTTATGCATTTTAATAGAGTCCTCAACCTGTTTGATCCATTTTGCATTTCTGTTGTGCTTCTTGTTGTTTTCCCACAAATTCTTCCAGAATTTCAGAGCTTTCTCTTTATCAGGCTTTTCATTTGTTGTTACTCCATTTCCATTTTCTAAATTCTTATAAAACTGGTGCTGATTTGCTCTGAACTGTGAGTTTTCCTTGAACTGAGTTACTCGGTTTTCATACCTTTTAATCTTTTCAGCGATGGCAACAACCCTCTGCTTCAGCTCTTCAATTACTATTGCAATCTCCTTATTCATTAGATCGTATCTTGCTTCCAGGCTGCTTTTGACCTGCTTGTTCTTTAGCTGACCTTGCCTTAGGTTCTTCAAGTTGCTCAAATCTCCATGTACTTTTTTGATCTTCAATTCTAACCGAATTTTCCACTTAGGCTTCCCCTTCTTGCCTCTTTGGTTCTTTTGTATTTTCAACCCCAGTTCTTTGGTGGTTATGACAGCTGCTGCATACATCAGTTGGTTAGTTTCGGCTTTATTATTATTATTATTATTATTATTATTATTATTATTATTATTATTTTAAAAAAGGGGTGTGTGTGTGGGGGGATATTGGCCTTTTCTCACTTTGGCCTAAAAAAGCCTTTAAAGGATTAATGCTATAGAATAAATAGAAATGTAACAGAATATCATAACTGAGGGGAGCATGTCTCTATCCAAAAATCAATATTCTCACAACAGCTGGATTTTTCATCCAATGTTTTCTCAGGTACCTCAGTCATTCAGGTGACGGCAACATACCCAACAGGTGTTCGTCTGATTTACAGTATTCTTCCAGAACAGCCCTATTTTTCTGTGGAACCAACTTCAGGTATTGTTTCTTTTTTAAATTAAGTATCACCAATAAATCACTTAAGTATATTGTACTTTATAATTTTTATTAGATTCATTTTTATGATTATTTCAAAGAGCAAATAAATGAGAGTTAATTCAGTAAGATTATAATTTATTTATTATTTATTTATTTGAGTTATATACCACCTATCCTATCTCATTTAGAAAACTGGAAAGCCACATGTACAGTATTATTTACTGAATCAAGGGCTTGAGCTATCGTGATCTAGTTTCAATCTAACAATCTTCCTTTGGTAAACAAATGTTGACTTTCCTCCCTTATTTAATAAATTATAAGACTGAATATAAATTATATGATTTTTTTTTCTCCATGCAGAAATGTAAGTTTGTTATAAAACAAAATATCCTATACTATAAGTTCGAAATTTGGTTTCTAACAGAGAGTGAGGTTGATAAATATCATCCAGATCTTTTTAAAATGCAGGAGTATTTGGAATGCTATGTGACCATGACATTTCAAAATAATAGTGTAGAATGCAAATGAGAGCTAGCAAGATATTGAGGTGCTGGAGAATTTACATTTGTGGAAAGAGTATAAGGTTTGGAACTCTGCATCTTAGAAGCTAAATGAGGACAGAGCTGTAAAAAAACAAAGTGAATATGCCAGGTTTTTCTTCTTTATTTAGTATTAGAATTCAGGTAAACTGCAATGAAACTCAATGGGAGAAATTCAGGTCATACAGAAAGGGAAAAAAATTCAGGTAGCACACAGTTAACTAAAATGTCAAAAAATATGGCAATTATTTGGATAAAGCTATTGAGAATAACACTATTAATAATGATCATTATCATAGTGATTGATTGATTGATCATTTTAAATTTATGTATAAAATTAACATAGCCACCTATATTTGACTATATTTACTATTTGCTTTTACATCACATCTGGTTGACCACTGGAAAGAAGCAAATTATAGTAGTTGTATTTTTGGTTTAATCCACAATAACTAGTCTCTCTTTTTACCAATAATAATAATAATTTTATTAAAGATTATAATTCCAGTAGTAAAAACTGATGCAAACCAAAATAAAGAAGAGTAGAGAGAAAATAAAAAGTGCAAAGAAAAAAAAGAAGAAAAAAATGTTCATAGTAAAGAAAAAATATATATAAAGAAGTAATTCCCACAAGAAGTATAAACAATATTAATAACATTTTACTTCCTTTTAATGTATAAACAATAATATCTTCATCCCATGACCCATCTCTTATTTATAAACAAATTCATACAATATTGTCATTTCAGCAAAAGTATTACAGGTGTTCAGAAAAAAAAGAATAATATATTTTAACCTTGGTCAAATGATCCAACTTTCTATTCTTCCTTTTTAATTCTAACAGTTTTAATCTTTAGTCCATTAAAATAATGTCAGAGAATTTGATTTATTTTTATTTCTTTTTTATTCCTTCTCACAAAATTCATCCAAGTTTTGACAAATTTCTTTTGTAAATCCAGTATAAAAGAATTATCCAGATCATGCCCTTGGTTTATTGTTTGTCACAAAATGGCTGTTCTCTGCTCCTTCTATATTTTATAGGTGTGGTTAGAACGGCCTATCCAGGCGACAGAGAAACCCAAGATAAGTATTTTGTTGTTATCAAAGCTACAGTTGAACAAATTGGTGGACCTTCAGGTACAACAACAGTGACTATTAATCTGTCTGATGTTAATGACAATCCTCCTCGTTTTCAGCATAGTAAGTAGAATGTATTTTCATTATTCTTTAGCATTTGAATACCTATGCATAAATATTGTATTCCTAGTATGTTAACAGTAATTGAAAGCTAGTATTACACTGTGTCTACATTTAATAATTATTATGTATGAGCTTGATTACCCTCATCAAGGAACCTTAAGCAAATTTGTTTTGCCATTGAATTCTTAGTACTGATATATAAATACTATGTAACAATAATTTCTGGAATAAGTTTTAATATAATAAATATAATCATAGCATACCCAGGAACTGTGTATGTCTAGTTTAATGAAAAGAAGGACTAGGGGTGATGTGATAGCAGTATTCCAATATCTCAGGGACTGCCACAAAGAAGAGGGAGTCAAGCTATTCTCCAAAGCACCTGAGGGTAGGAAAAATAGCAATGGGTGGACACTAATCAAGGAGAGAAGCAACTTAGAACTAAGGAGAAATTTCCTGACAGTTAGAACAATTAATCAGTAGAACAACTTGCCTCCAGAAGTTGTAAATGGAAGTTTTTAAGAAGATGTTGGATAACCATTTGTCTGAAGTTATGTAAGTTTTCCTGCCTAAGCAGGGGGTTGGACTAGAAGACCTCCAAGGTCCCTTCCAACTCTGTTATTCTATTCTATTCTATTCTATTCTATTCTATTCTATTCTATTCTATTCTATTCTATTCTATTCTATTCTATTCTATTCTATTCTATTCTATTCTAAAATATTCTAAAATATTCCATTCTAAAATATTCTATCTCCATAATCATTTGTCTTCAAGCAAGAACTGATGGGTAGTTAGACCAAATAATAGAAAATGAAGAAGTTAAAGTGCTCTGGGACTTTAAAATTCAAACAGACAAGCACTTGCCACATAACCCCAGACTTAACAATTGTCAATAAGAAAGACAAAAAAGATGAGATGGACAAGCTCACAGAAGAAATACAAGAAAAGGAGGAAACAGAATACTACATGGTATGGGAGAAATGGTATGAATGGTTAGAAGAGAGGTATAAAGGGCAAGGAAAGAGTAAATGAGGAAGATATAAGAGTTGAAATGTAGTAACAAACAAGTGGAAATGGAACAGACACAGAATGTATGATTGAAATCAAGTACACTGTTATATTTATGTATATAAATCAATATTAGAACCATATGTATAAATGGTAAATTAAGTAAGGGAGAAAAATGGATATGTAAGAAATGTTTACTGGTGCATAAATGTTGAAAAGAAGAAAATTGTAAAAAAATCTTTTTTGTTTTTTAAAAAAACCAAATTTTAAAAGAACCAAATTAAAAGTTTTTGTTTTTAATAAAAATTATTTTTAAAAATAAATAAATAAAAAGATTGCATTTAAAAAAAAAAGAAAGACAAAAAAGTCTGGTTATTGGACATGGCAGTATCTGGACAAAGCAGAATAGTGAGATAGAGTTCAAGAAAATAATAGAATACAAAGGCCTGAAAATACAGGTAGATATAAACATTTGTAGCAAAAGAAAGCGAAGATAGTTGTAATAGTGATAGTGCCTTGGGTACAATCCTAAAACATCTGGAGCCTCATCTGAACACCATTACCATTGACAATATCACCATCAGTGAATTGCAAAAGGCAGCTTTCTTGGAACAGCTTACATCCTGCAACAGTACTTTGACACCATCAAACAACAGCATCTGCCTATTCCAGGTCCTTGGGAAGAATTTGATAGGTAGATAAAAATGCCAAATCTAGTCTAAACATCTGGCTGACTGTGCAACCAACCATAATAATAATAAGTGGATAAGGAAGTTAGGAAGATTTTTTTTTTCATCCTTGCCTAGGACAAGCAGAGCTGTCACTAATTTAATACAGCTGTCATTGTATCCATAGGCATTGTCAGTGCTGCATTTTTTATTTATGTACTGGAATATGTTTAAAAATGAAACCTTTAAATTATAATCATATTTCAAATGAGTCAATATAATCAATACAAACTATAAATACTAAACATTGCCATTAAAACCAATAGTAAATCAGAATTTACTATTGGTTTATTATTAAAAATACAGTTTAAGGAAAAACAAGCAGATTTAGAGATTTTTCTGATGAGAAAAATGACCTGAAGATGCTTCTAAGATCAATACATATTGGATACATATTGGATAATATATAAATGTCCTTCCATACATTTCCTAAGCTTGTACTTGCCAATCTCTCTCTTACAATAACTGAGAAGGATCTCTACCGGCAACTAAGCTTACTACAAGTGAAAGTACCTCACCAACATTTCAAGTTTAAATTAGCACTGGGATTGAGAAAGCAGCTGTATGTTGTTCTACCTGAAATTTCTTAATCATTTTTAGAAGAAGTTGTTATAAAGTAGATCATGGTAGTCCACTCTAACACTTACCAGAATATAAATAAAATGGAGAGACAATGTGTCTTTCCCAGGTAGCATCCACATAATGTACCAGCCTTGTTAAAAACAAAAATCTATCACCTGAGTTTTCCGCACTTCATACAAAATACACTGGTTCCATAGAAGGGACCCAAGATTGATTGACTGATTATTTATTTTAAAAATATTTATATGGCTATGCATCTTAAGCAAATCTGGAGGGCTCACAACAATAACCAGTTACCAATTGCTGGTAATAAAACCAACAAATAAAACAATCATGAAACTGTAAAAACAGTAAAACAATAAAAGAGAATAGATTGTAGTAAAAGGACCCAGATTGTTGGGGGCAATGCCGACTCTGTAAACCATTTATTTATTTATTTATTTATTTATTTATTTATTTATTTATTTATTTTATTATTCAAATTTCTATACCGCCCTTCTCCTTTCGCCCTTCTCCTTTCGGATTTAGTGAGGACTGTAAAGCACTATGAAGTGGTATATAAATCTAAGTGCTATTGCTATTTGTTTGCCATCATCTATCTCTAAAACCATTAAAAACTCCATTGGAGCTGAGCATATAGTAAATTTAAATAAATAAAGCATAACAATCTGCCTCTAACTTTAATTTACTAAATGTCGGTTATTTTATGCTAATGTTGCAGCAAGTTGTCATGTATAAAAAGTTTGGAAGCTCAGAATTTTTCTAAAATAGTAATTATTATGCTACCGGAAGGAATTATTTTCCTCTCTGCTTCATCTTTAAAGCTATCTCCTTTTCTGTCTTCCTTTATTAAACGATTACCACACAACTACTGTACTCAGGTTTGGCTATACGATATACACAATATAAGTTGAAGAGCTAAAATAAGAGTTATCTAAGGACAAAAATCCTAGGAAGATGAAGTAGTGATAAACCAATATGGGATAACATGGAAAGCAAAGTAGTTCATAGCAATCCAACAGATTTTTTAATTTAAGAAAATGAAAACATCCCTTCGCTTAAAACAGAGATAGGATCTCAAATTTGTAGTGTTAGTTTCCAAGACATCTCAGGAGAGTTCCCATAAACTTCCTTAGACATGAGTGTGAGTAACAAGAACAGTCATGTTACATAAAATTCTTTAAACGGTGGCTCCCAGTTATCCACAAAATTCTATTTTGAAATTAAGTTAAAAAAATAGGCAACAAAATCAAATAATGCTACATAACAGAGTAACTAATTAAAGGGTGGTGGGATAGAGCCTCTGTTCTTAATTTGTTATGAGTAAATTTATAAGGTAATTTGAATAAAACAGTTCAGAAGAATCTTGATTTGCATATGTAAGAGCAGAAGACTTTTATGTGATGAAACCTTACTGTAGTTGCTTTAATGTATTTGTTTTTTATTTTTATTTTAATACATATATTGGATTTTGCGGTTGTTATTTATGTATTTATTATTGGTTGCTCTGAATAAAGGAGGCACATCAGAAGACCAGGACTTTCATTTCCCAATTAGGAAAAGAAAATAGAGAAAAAAGAATCAGATAAAAGCAAGGGGAGAAAAGGCTTTTGAGGGCATCTCATGCTCTGGTAGCAGAAGCATAACTAATGTGATTGATATATGAAAATAGCTTCCAGGGGATGGGGGAGGAGAGGAGACAGCAATCTCTTGATATGAGTCAATAAAAAAGGTGACAATAATATGGATATAACAGGAAAAAGTTGGTTGAATTTTCTTTATTTTATCTGCTTTGGGAAATGGATTTTCGAATTGATCAGTATTTAAATTAAGAACTTTGATATATTTTGAAGTTCTACTGTTCGCTGGTGTTATTCTAATTATAAACAAGGTTATAAATGTGTCAAGTTAAAAGGAAAAACTTCAGGCACAAGAGATTTAGCAGTTCTATATTGCAATACTTAAAAAAAAAAACCCTCTATGCAGCTACTTCTTTTGAAATTCAAGAATGGTTAAATTAAACAGTCAAAAGCTATTAAAGACAATGAGCTAATAGCCCAAACAAAGAAATATTTGTTACAACAATTCTTTACATAACAATGCGATTCTCAGAAAGGATCACGATTTACATTTTGTTGCTGTCAAATGAACAATGAACATTTAATCAGGCTTGTACTGATAATCGCCTTTTCTTTAAGAGCGCTATGAAATGAATGTATCAGAGGCAGCTCCTGTGGGCACCATCCTTGGCAAAATCATGGCAAATGACAGTGACATAGGAGACAATGCAGCTATGGATTATATAATAGAAGAAGATAACCCTCATATCATTTGTATCATTACTAATAATGACACCCAGGAAGGAATTGTCATATTAAACAAGGTGAGATGTGATCTGTTACATTACAAACAGGGAAACAGGCAAAATCAAACAGCTTTACTCATTATAAGTTCATATGGGAAGAAGTTGTAATAAATCTAAAAGCTGTTCCATCTTCTTTTCCAAGATTTCATCCTACATTAGCATGATCAATATAATGTATTCATAAAATGGGCAGTTTATTTGTGGCATATCTAGGAACAAACAGTGTTAATCACTCTTGACTGAGAAAGTTAAATATTCTGTGCTAAACTCTGCTGGCTTCAGATTGTCTCAAGAAATGTGTTCTCTTGTCTTAACTCTTTTGAGCAATCCTTATTAAGTCTAATTTTGCACTGCAGGCTAAACTACTTACTTCCCATGTTGCTTTTAAAATTCCAGTCTGGTTTGTAGTGGTTTGGCAATGAAGCTGGATTGGTGCTCAGACTATGACTTTTTCAAGCTATGATCAGTTTGTCCCTGTATTTCAGCCTTCTGATCTGTATAAGAAAGGCAAGGCTTAACACAGTGGTGGGATTCAAGTAATTTAATAACCGGTTCTCTTCCCTAATCAGTGGTGGGTTGCTCCCGGTTGAGTCTGGTTCTATAGAACCAGTAGTAAAACCGGCGGGAGGCTCTGCCCACCCACCATGACATTATCATTGGTGATCTGCGCATGCACAGATCCCACTGCGAACCGGTAGTAAAGGTAAGTGGAACCCACCCCTGGCCCTAATGATTTTTTCCAACAACCAGTTTGCCAAACTGCTCAGAAAGTTAACAACCGGTTCTCCCGAAGTGGTGTGAACTGGCTGAATCCCACCACTGCCTTAACGGATGGCCTCTATTGAGCGGATCTCCCAAGGTCTACCTTTTTTTTTTCTTTTAGGAACTGTTTTCTTCTCAATAGCCCCCATTCTTTTCCTTTGCTTTCCAAAATGTTTCCACACATGCATACTTTTACACTCCCTTCATATATTCTCTAGTGTTCCCACTCATTACTCATCTTATTGTATCAATCCAAAAGACACAGATTATTCCTTCATTCCACTGTAGGCCCATAGAAACTTTGGGGAAACAGAGAACTGATGGTCCAGATTCTTAGAAGTAAAGGAATAGCATTCATTGCAATTGTACAACTTCCTTCCGAACTGCCTGTGTTGCTACTGAAGTACTTAAAAAGGTTGCGGTACAGTGGACACAGAATGGGTGGAAATCAAATGGATGCCAGGTAGGAAGTTCAAGGATGGGCAAAGATACGCTGGAGAAAAAGAGTAAGAAACAATGACCAAGAGTACCAAGAGTAATTTTTACAGACCACCATTAGATCAACTGGAAGAAAGGTAAATGAAATCAGCACAGAACATAATGACCCAATCCAGCAGCCCAGGATGAAATGGCAGTAAAGGGAAGCAACCAATGCTGCTTCTGTTTTTATGGAGTAATCATACTTGTTCATTGCAAAGACTATGTGTTCTGCTGTCTCCCCCCAGAAGGGGTCTAGGATAACTCACTGTGATCATCTCACCATGGCCAACTTGCTGTGGCCAACTCACTGTGGCTAACTTGCCACAGGAAAATCCACATAGCACAACTCAATGCAATAAATGTTATCTGCCACTGTTTCTTCTACATTATTTCCATTTTTTGTCAATGGAAATAATGTTGAAGAATCAGTGGCAGACAACATTTATTGTGCTGAGTTATCCTGCATGGAATTGTCCCACAGCAAGTTATCTACAGTGCGTTGGCTGTGGCGAGATGGTCACATTGAGATAGCCATATTGGGTTGGCCACAGAGAGATGGCCACAGTGAGTTGGCTGTGGCAAGATGGTGTCTGAAAGTTGGCCATGGCAAGATGGATGTGGCTGTTGCATTCCATTCCAGACTCAACCTCTCTCCACAATTCTGCTTCTTCCTTATCTCCCCATGCTTCCTGGCTGGGAAACATTGGAGGGATTTGTTCATGATGATTCTATTTCCCTTGGATTGGAAACCCAGGGAAGATGTCAGATCACTGGACAGGATGAAACACCACACAATAACTTATACTACCAAAAACCAACTAGTAAGTAAGGTAACTGTAAAAAGTATGCACATGAGGATTACACTAACATTTTCTTCCCCTCAAGAGAGAAAAATGAAATAGATAACATGCCTATTTTGAAAACATTCCCTGTGAAACTGAAGCAATGTTTCTCAATTACCTGCTTATTGTTGTCAATTTCTCAGTATCAGATTTTTCTTCTTTTTTTTTTATAGACAGTTGATTATGAAAGCCAAAGGGCATACAAAATAAATGTGAAAGGCATTAACCGGCATGTTGAAAAGCGCTTCCTTGAAAACGACGCTAAGTTTGAAGATGAAACTATTCTCAGGATCATAGTGAAGGATGCTGATGAACCTCCAGTTTTTGTATTAGAGGAATTCTTCATGGAGGTTGCTGAAGACAACTTGAATGGCTCATTTGTGGGATCTGTGAGTGCCAGAGATCCAGATGATATTGATAGTCCAATCAGGTACACCACAAATCCTAAGATATGCCTGGATATAGATAGGACTGAAAATAATAGTATTATATGGTTTTTAATGCCATTGAAGATTACTCCCCAAGATCGTTGCCGTAGGTCTTTGGGTGCGGTATATCTGATATATGAGACATGTAGTTATTTTATTAGAATGGAGATTATAGATAAATCTCCTGCTTGCACTGTATCCCTTGCTTCATTGGGATTCAGAAAAAGGAAACTTTCATAAAGTTTTCTGCTCTGAGAAGGTAGGGAAGGAAGGAAAGCTAAACTAAGCAAAATAAATGGGTCACTAAGTCTATGAAAATAAATCTATCGTTTTGTTCTCCCTGTTCCAAGGGTTTTCTATCCTTTATGTTTAATGGAAGTGGTAGTTGTTCTTTTGCCTTTCTCCTCTTAGTATTTTTTTCCCTTTGACATTGTTTCAAAGCAGCCACAATAAAAATGCACTGCTGTAGCCCAACTTAGTTGCCAGTGTGAGTCACTTCACAAGTGGCACTTCACTGTCTCTTTTTAATCGAGTCCTTCACCTGCTGGGAGCCTGTCTGTGAAAGAAGAATGAATAATGCATTTTAGATTTGCTTCAGTCTAATACAGGTATGAACATATTTCAGCGCATAAAAAGAGGGGCTTTGATCTTGGCAGCAGTGAATTTTAAATGTTTATCACTGTTCATTTTTCATGATTTCTGAATAGCCAAAGCACACATATCCATATTCATGGCTACACAATTCTGTTTCCTTCACTGACAATAGTTTATACATCCTTCTTTATGAAGAAATTTTTATATTCCAGGTCTCAGAAACTCACTCTTCCTCTTTCTTCTCTTTTTCTCCTTCTCTTTCGTGTGTAGATATTCTATTGCCCATCGCAAGTATTTAAAGACGTTTTTCAGTATTAATGCCCACAATGGAACAATTAGTATAACTGGACCTCTGGACCGAGAGAAACAGATTTGGCACAATCTAACTGTTACTGCCATAGAATCAAGTGAGTAGGAGATTTAAGGTACTTGTCCCAAATGTGCATCATGCAGGGGCATCTGCAGGAAAGGATGTCAAAAAGTCAAGATGGCAGCTCTGATGGTGAAATCCAAACCCACCTTACTATGATGCTTGTAAAAAAGGACTAGAACTTGGCTCATGCATTTACCATCATCAACTTGACTTACTTAACTACCCCTGCAGAGATCTCTGATGCCAATATCTTTTTATAGTAATTATTTTCCAAAGGGTTCATCTTTTGCGGTTGAGAATTTCCTGTTTCTTTGTTGCTTGTTTCAAAAGGTAACACTAAGAAAAGGGATGTGTTTGTTAGGGTTAAATCTAAAATTTTCTTTTCTTCGATCAAAATAGCACATTTAAAAGGGAAAAAAAATGTAATACAGTTAGTCCTTGATGTACAACCACAATTGAGCCCAGAATTTAGGTTGCTAAGTGGGAATTTGTTAAGTGAGTTTTGCCCCATTTTATGACTTTTCTTGCCACATTTGTTAAGTGAATTGCTGCAGTTGTTAAATTAGTAACACAATTGTTAAGTGAATCTGGCTTCCCCATTGACTTTGCTTGTCAGAAGGTCACAAAAGATGATCACATGACCTCAGGACACTGCAACCGCCATAACCAGTTGTCAAGCAGTTGTCGTATGTAAATCACGTGACCAAGTGCATGCTGCAACAGTCATTAGTGTGAAAAATGGTCAGAAGTCATTTTTTTTCAATGACATTGTAACTTCAAATGGTCACTAAATAAACTGTTGTAAGTCAAGGACTACCTGTATAATGGAAATAATTAACATTTTAAGGCACATTGCAGGATATGAAATTGTCCTCTTGATACAAGAGCTTATATTATATTAGACTGTGGTTAATTTCACAGACTTTTTTATTAGTTTATGAATTAATAAAGTTAATTTCACTTTATTCTTTATTAGTGGTATGAAATTACCCAGCATTTAACTGAACTCCAGTCAGAAAATTAATTCTGAAACTGAGGGCACATTCCCTCAGTTAGACTTATAGCTCCATCCCTTTTGATATTCTGAAAGTTCTTAAGAATTGGTTATGTGACCAGGTTTGGGCCTCCTATGAACTGGAGATATGTCTAGATAGCATTGTTGTTGAGAGAGGTATTTTTATATTCTTCAATTATGGGTTGCATTTTTGTTAGGATATCTATAGGTTTTTATAGTTGTATTTTCTTTTTTTTATTTTCTTGCTATTTATCTATTGTTATGCACTGACCAGAGTCTCCTTGGGTGAGATGAGTGGCTATGTAAATTTGATTAACAAATAAATATAGTTGGAATTGAAAAGCATTGGCTATATATAGTTATTCTGTTGGTGTTACCTTAAATTCCAATGCAAATTACAAGTTGCCTAATCTATGCATTTCTTTGTAAGTCACCTTGCCTTTCAGATGTTATTTCTTGCTTGTTTTTTTTTTTAAATACTTAGAACTAGAATTAGAATTAGAACTAAACAGCCTCTGCTAAATTCTTAGTTCCTCATAATAAAAAGGTAAAATGCAAATCATAAAGGGACAGTTTTATCTATCTTAAGATTGGTTCTTCACTAGGACAAGCTGTATGGTTTTCATTAAAAGGATAACACAAACACTTCAGCCAAATAAAAGGAGAAATCATTTCCATTATTTTTTTTCAGAATCCCAGCTGAGTGGATACAGCATTTTAAATGTGCTAAAATAGTGGATTTTATATGCACAACATCAAGGCATTATGTGACTATTTTCATTCATATTCTTAGATTTTTTGCTTTTTTTTAAATCACAAAAACATAGCAAAAGAACTTTAATCATAAAATATTCTTAATAATTATAAAAAAGTCAAAACTATCTAACTATAATTCTACTAATTATTTATTTAAATAAGCACTTTTATCTTTCTATGCTGATGAATGTGCACTGTTCCAAAGAGGTAAACAATTAAGATAATTAAAAAAAAACTATTTAAAAAAAAAAAAGAAAATAAGACAAAAGTAATCCCAAAAGTGCTTTTTTAAAAATGGCAACTGGACTTTGTTTTTGGTTTGAAGACATTTCATTTCTTATCGAAGAAATTTCTTCAATTTTGAACCAAAGAAGCTTCTTGGATAAGAAGCGAAACGTTTTCAAGCCAAAAATTAAGTCCAGTTGCCATTTGAAAAAAGCACCTTTGGGACAACCATGACCTGGATGACCGAGAATCTCCATAGACGAGACAAAAGTAAGTGAATTGAATGACAGCCAGTAAATCCAGCAGCTAAAATTAAAATAAAATATTCCTGTAGAATGAATATAAAGACATAGTCTGTTGTAGTTAGTTTACCTGATGCTGGTACAGTGGGAAGAAATACACATTTCCATTTATTAGCACATGTATGATGCTTACTTCATATGAGTACTTTTGAAAGGGATTACATATTGTGAAAATGTGAAAATCAAATATCAGAATCAGTTTGATCAAAGAATGACCTAAAATTAATTCAGAGGTTCTAGTTTAGAATTATGGCATTTTTGGATCACATTATGATATGTAAACCTAAACCAGAGTGAAATCCAGCAGGTTCTGACAGGTTCTGGAGAATCGGTAGCGGAAATTTTGAGCAGTTCGGAGAACCAGCAGTGGAAATTTTGAGTAGTTCAGAGAACCGGTGAGAATGGAGATTTTGCAGTATCCTTCCCCTGCCACACCCACCAAGCTAAACCAGACCCATCAAGCCACGCCCACAGAATCGGTAGTTTGAATTATCTATTCAAAATTCCAAGTATACATGCTGAAAACAAAATTACAATACGTTTGCCCCAAACAAATGTCCTTATGCTTATAAGTATCCGTGTATTAACTGAGTTGCTTAATCATCTGGGAAGTAAATTTTTTCAAGTGAGAAAAATAATTGCTATAATTGTACCAGACTTTGTCTTTATCTATATATTATAAATTAACTGTATTACTTATATTTGATTGTAAATCAACTTTAACTGAAAAGAAAGAAAGAAAAACAAAAATGCAAATGTAAAACATAACTTTGGTGGGATGGGTAGGGGAGGAATAAACATATATTCAAATATTCATATTTGGAAATTGCATTTCATACCTCTTTATTGCAGAGATTTACCAATAAAAGGTGAATTAATTTTAGTAATCCTATATTCCAGTTCTTAAAAATAAATCAGATTAATTGCATATTAGTTGCCTTACCAACCAGTGACAGAATAAGAAATGCTGTAACAAATACCCTAAAATATTTTGTTTAAAACAATATCAGATTTACTATACAATCCTTCTGCATGATATCACATTAGCTTCATGTTATGCTACATAAATAGTCAAAAGAAATTATTTATCCAAATTTCTGATAATATTGTATGGATTTATAGCACGTTGGCACAATGGAAAATTCTCACAGACAGCTGTTGAAATTATTTCCAGAAACTCTTTCACCTTTCTTTTTAGTGAATAATCAAATCTTTTACTTTACTATTTATTTAATCGTTCTCTAATAGAAAGGTGTCTTAGAAAGTAGAAGGTAACGGCTGCAATTTTTGAATACTTTCTTGCAATAAGAAAGGCCTACTTTCTAGCTCCACTGAATTCAGTTGAGTATATAACAGAGAAAATTGTACCATATTGTGCTTTAATTCACTTAAGTAATTAAGGAAAAAGTGTGGTTTTACACATTTGTCTAGCTTACAGCTCACAAATCATCTTGATAATTAAGCTAATTTAAATATAGGGCAATTCACTGTTATATAGTGCTTTTCTGAATGCCTTAAGCAAAGACCCATCTGTGCAAAAGTATTTGAATTTAACATATATTCACTCAATTATTTACAAAACCAACCAACTTCCTTCCTTCCTTCCTTCCTTCCTTCCTTCCTTCCTTCCTTCCTTCCTTCCTTCCCTCAATTTTTGAACTCATGAAGGAATATGAACTTTTTTATTTGCTGTTTAATTTCTATAAGATATATTATAGCAATAATCTAAAACAGAATATTCCTGAATTAATATTTGTGGTTGCCAAGGTCGTATTAGATCATTTATGAATCATTTCTTATATTATCATTATTGAAGACTTTTTTATAACATGATACACAAAAGATAACATGCAAAACTCTTTATTGTTTTATTATGATTTTATTGTGTCATATATTAATGTGGAATATAATCTTGTATATAATACTTTTTATTAAAATCTAAACTGAACCTCACAATGTTCCTTAGAAAGGATTTTTGAAGAGGTAGAGAAAGAGAGAGAACTTATAACAGTAAAGAAAAAGCTGTTGACTTTCCATTCTGTTTTGGTTTTTTATTTTTGTTTTCTTGTGATTTAGCAAACCCAAAACAAATGTCAGAAGTAAATGTTTATATTAAAGTTCTTGATGCAAATGAATATGCACCAGAATTTGCAGAATACTATGAGACGTATGTGTGTGAGAATTCAAGAGCTGGACAGGTAAGACTAACATTATTTCATAAAAAGTATTAAAATTCTCCTGAGATCTGCCAATGTTTCTTTCTTCTACTTATAGGAAATCTTGTAAGACTTTTTTGTTCATGCATGCATCTGAAGTAAACTCTTCCAGCTGTCACTGATGACTTATCTAGTTATAATATTATTCTTTTTTCTTCTACATCAGAAATGCAAAGAGCGGCCTTGTTCTGACCTCAGGTTACTTGTATCTTGATAGCCGTATATTGTTCTGTTTGTCTTTACAGAATGGTTGTATGCTAGGATTAAAAATGAAGTGTTACCTACAAAAAATAAGTGATTTTTATCCCCTGCTTAGTTTTCCTTTACCTCTCTCTATGTTTTATCCTTCACTGTTATAAAGTTGGCATAGACCTGAAAATAAAATAAAACAGTATTGAGGAGTCCCAAGAGATGTCCTGATCTACATTGTCCTCTATCTCCAATTTAGGGTTACTGAATCATTTCCTGCCATTTAATCAAATCGGATCAAATGTATGTGCAGAATAATCTCAATTTCATTTAGTTTTAGTTTTCATTTCCTGGCCAAAACTGAGCACCAACTGGCTAAGGCATCTATCATCACTTATGGCCAGAATTTGATTGGTTCTTGGTTCTACACAAGACTAATAAACCTGCACAGTAGAGGTATTCTTAGAATCTTAATACTTTTAAGAATCAAAACAATGCATCATTCCCTACTCCACTTGAAATATTAAATTACATTACTTGGGCAATAGAAATCTTCACTCTTTGATGTACTGTTGCCTTCATCAAAGCTTTATTTCTGTGTATCTGTGTCTTCAGTTGATACAATCATAGCATCATTTATTTATTTTTGTCTTTTAATGATCCCGTTATCCCTTGCATTGGGGTGGAGTCGGGGCAACTGAATGGAGCTGAGTGTTTACTGGCCAGATGCCCTTCCTGTCACTAATGCAGAGTTCACAGCAGATAGTTACTCATTGTGCCCAGAGAGAAAAATATCTGCCGCTACCTAGGATCAGACTCACAGCCTCCTGATTGTGAGGCAAGAGCTCTACCTCTAGGCCACTGCACCACTCACAATCATGGCATCATATGATTAAGAAAAATTAATTCATTTTTTTAAAAAACTGGGTTTACCTGGGAGGGTCTGATAGCATCAAAACAAGAATATGTGTATCATCATACCATTCAATAAATTATATGATAATGCAACTGCACCATGATGTCTGACATATGAATCATGATTATCATGAAAATATGATCAACACATGTTGATCTCTGCATTGTGCATTAGTTATAAGCAGGCAATGCCATTGTCTAATGGGAGCATACTAACTATGAGGGAAGATTCTCTTGCTATTTTAGATTCCTTCAAAAAAAAAAAAAGAAAGAAATAGTTAAGAAGCCAGTAACTGTATGCATAGTTTAGCAACTGAGCAAGAATATCATTTGTTTTGTGTGAATAGATCAATCTCCCCATGAGTCCATAATTTTAGTTTTACAGATTCCTGTTTAGATCTTCAAAATAGGATGGGATTTTGAATATGGGACAATATATGTGTTGTATATATACATGTATGACTGACATTAGCAAGAACAGAGCCAAAAAGGCTAAGAAGATTGCTATAACAATATGAGCAAAACAACACCTCTTTTGTGTATGCATGTTACGGTATCTTGATCAATGTGCAAAGTGCTAGACTTTCAGTGGTTTTGACAAAACTGCTAAATTGCCTTTTACTTTCTACTGCTGTTCTATTGCATGAATTGATGAAAAATGGTCAAGGGGAGTAAACAACTATACATTTTCTTCCTACAATTTTCTTGCCCCGTGTTTAAGGTCAAAGGAGAAGATAGGAGATCAGTATTCTAACTCATTTTCTACATTTTGGTCACTGTCCTGGAAGATACAGAACTCTAGCAAAGTGTTTCTCAACTTTAGCAAGTTTTAGATGTGGGGACTTCAACTCCCAGAATTCCCCAGCCAGACATCTTAATATTTCCAAGATTCAGAAACATTATTCTATTGCCGTGATGGCGAACCTATTGCCGTGATGGCGAACCACAGGTGGCGCACATAGCCATATCAGTGGGCATGCCAGCTCAGCTCTGGCATGAGCTGATTTTCGGGTCTTCTGGGCCCATCAGAAGTAGGAAAACAGGCTGTTTCCTGCCTCCGGAGGGCCTGGGGTAGGGGCATGGGGAAGGCCCATTTTTCTTTCTTACCTGGCTCCAGATCCTCTCTATGCATCTGCGGAGGGCGAAAACAGCCTTTCTCACTCCCTCGGAGGCCCTCCAAAGGCCTGAAATGGCTCATTTCCCAACTCCCGGTGGGACAGGAAGTGATGTTTTTTGCTGTCCCCAGCCTCCAGAGATTCCTAGAGAGGCCCCACTGGGAGTTGGGAAATGGGCTGTTTTCGTCCTTTCCAGATAAATAGAGAGGATCTGGAACCAGGTAAGAAGAAAAATGGGCCTACCGGGCCATTGAGTGCCAGGAGCGGGGGGGGAGGTTGCACACGCATGCACAGGGCAAGGCGCATAGAATTATCGGTGTGGTCCTCCGTGCGTGTGGACCTCCCCCGCCTCCCCTCTCCTGGCACACAATGGCAAAAAGGTTAGAGATCACTGCTCTAGTGCATCAAAAAAACCCAAACAAACTCATGAACATAATTTGTGGCAAAGTACCATCTACGGGGCTGGCGGGGGGAGTCACAGAACAGATTGTCCATTACATTGATAATGTATCAAAACTCACCTGTAGGGTTGCCAGGTCTGCTTCCAAAAAATAGCGGACAAGCGGGGGGCGGGGGGGGGTTAACTGGTAAAAAAATAAAAAAAAATTACAATTAAATTATATATTTTCTTACAAACAATTTACAGTAGGCCGTCATATTTGTTCTGTCGGTTTCGTTGTTGGTAATCCATGCAAAAGTAGCTTCCCAGTCTTTGGTGTATTTGCACACTCCTCTCTTTCATTTTAAAGAATTCGAAATCTTGCCGCTGTCACTCTCATCACTCGATGCTATTTTAGATCAGTCGACACAAGCTACAATACGTTTTAAAAATGTGAACTGTACATAATTTTATAATATATTTTTATTTTAATCTCATCATTAATTTTTTCGGAGAATCGAGTTCAATGGATATTCGATCTTTGTCTCATTCTAACTTATGAAAAAAAAGACAAAATGCGATTCTCCTATCCTTATTCTCTTAGACTGTACAGCTTTAGATTATTTTGTGAAAAAAAATAGTGGGCATTTTTTTTATTCAAAAGCTTTATGATGAAATGGTACGTAAGCTAAAGCTGTACTATTTTGTGAAAAAAAATAGTGAACATAATGTGAAAAAAGCGGACTGTCCGCTCAAATAGTGGACACCTGGCAACTCTACGACCTGGGATTAAAAGAATTTTATAGATGCACTAAATTGATTAATGATAGCTCTGCATTGAAGGCATAAATCTTTTGCTGTCAGTGGTAGGTGGCCAAGCACTAGCTACACTAATTAAACTTTGCAATTGCCCTTGATTTTTTGTTCCTTGTATCAAAAAGAAGAAAAGTTAATATATTTCTGTTAAAGGAGATGGAAAGATGCCCTTTGGATGTCATAGCATGAGGAACATGAAGCACCAAGCAGTCACACTTCTTATTCCGCTGCTTAATGTCACACCTGAAATAGTAGGGCAGGTAGGTCACCACATCTACAGAAGGGCTTCAGTTTGCAGATAAATTCTATTGCCTTCAAAAATGCTTCCTTTCCAACAAGTATGCCAGAATGGCAGCAATTTATCAAACAATATAAAAGGGGACCAAATTGGTCTAAGGTATTACAAAGGAAAGAATTGGACTGTGTTAGAATTATGATGACCTGGAACTATAGAGAAAAAAGGATTGGAATGTTCTGCTTCAAATCTCTCAGTAGAAAAATAATGTGAAAAGAAAAAGCTTGAAAATATTTCCTGTTTAGCTATTGTAACAGGAAGAAGTACTTTACAATTGACCTTACTATAAGGGGATAGGGCACATTGCAATTTTTATTTTTTTATATTAATATTGCTTCCAATTTTGTTCCTGCTCATAATAGAATTAGGATATACAAATCACTATAAAACTAGCCCATGTTAGTTTTACATTATTTATTTCCAGTAAATTGCTTAAAAAATGAAAAATTTACAAAATGTATTTTACATTGACATATGTTTACCCAATATATATTATTTTGTACATATTTTTGTACAAAAAAAAATCATATTTACCCATCATTTGTGCATTTTCTACAGAAATGGGAAAACTGTTTTCCCAAATCACTTTGAAAACATTCTGGTGACTAATGTTATGCCTTGCAGATATGATTTTTGTTTGATCAAACGCAAGAATCAGATCCAGCTGAACACAAAACATTGAATTTATCTGTGTCTTTCCACATTTGTACATATTTATTTTGACACAAATCCCTGTAATTTGAGGATCATCTGTGGATTGAATTTAATATGGCAATTTACTCAATTTAATGTATTGTAAAGTGGGTGAAAGTGTGCACTTTCAGTTAGAAATGGTAAAACAACACTTATTTACCTAGCACTTAACATAAATCAGCAATTATAATAAAAACAAGGCCTGTTGACTTGACATAAGCTCCTTTTCAAAAAATATCCTAAATATTATAAACAATAACAGTTTAAGTCTAGGTCAACTGGTGAGATTCCATTATCCTACCTTGCCGAATCAAGTGTCCACACAGATTTATTTATTTTGGAAGTAAAAATAGAACATTCTTTCTTTTCTGGCAATTAAAAATGATTCTGATCACATATTTTTAAAATGTGGCTCTTTCATCATTCTCCTAAGTATCTGCATGATGCATCTATTTGCTTTTTGCCATAGTAGATATTAAAGATAGGCCAATCATCCTGTCCAAACTCTTTTCCAAATCTGTGGGAAAAGATATTGGGGGGACAATTTCTCCAAATTTGTCTGAAAATATCATTACTGAAACAGCCTAATCATTGCTCTTCCACCATGATAACTTCCTTTAGGATTTACTGGAAATGTGAGAAGAATAGAGGCTGATGTAAATTGATGAAGATACAAGGACAAAATAAAGGACAACAGATACAGAGCCATCTCCTTGCTAAATCAGTGCAAAATTCTACTCTAACCATAAAGTGTTTCCAAATTTCTCTACTCTCTCAAAACAATGTTGAATGCAAATTGCCTTTTATCAGATTGAATGACAACATGTAGAAATAAATGCGGGAAAATGTGTCTAGCCGGCATCAGTAGGAACAGCTTTCCCAGAGTGTTAAATTACTATTGCAAACACATAGTCCATTTAAGCAAATGTTAGGCAGGTACCCAGTTGTCTTTTTCACTGCCTTGTAGATAATTTCAGTTTTCAGATTAATGAGGCTTGTTACAACACAGTTCTTAGCAATTAGATTACAATCAATAACCAACTGCAGATGCTGGATTTCCAAAATATAGTCTAACTATATTACTTTTTCATTCTAAACCTTGATTCAAACATAATTAGTGGACTACGGTTGTTTTTAAAATTCAGTCTATGGAAAATCCAATCATTTGCTACATTTAAGTAATTAATCTAAGACCAAACTGAACACAATGTGGAATATCCAAGACTATAGACCAGTTCAGTCTGCAAAATGGGGAATTAACCTTCTTTCATCACCAATTTCCCGACTCAAACCCAGTGGTGTCATTATTTATTCAGTATCATTAGCTACTTTGAATTAGAAAATAGACACTTTTCTTTTTCTTCTTATATTGCTAGTAGAAGCTTTAAATCTGGGGAAAAATGCAAGGAAATCCAGCTGTTTACTAAGCAATTCCCTCCTCCTTTGGCTGTTAGATGCCAAATTAGGAGCATGGAAAGCTGCCAATGGTCCATCTAATCCTAGGTAGTTAATGGCTGGCAGCTGTTCTCCAAGGTTGCTGGGAAGAGATTTTTTCCCCCCCCCCAGCTCAGTTTGGAGATGCCAGAAATTGAATCTGGGGTATTTTGAATGGAAATTATATATTCATCCAGTAAACTATGGCTCTACTTTTGCTTTAAAAAACTAAGAAAGTGCCAAAAATATCTTACTATGTACTTCTCTAGATTATTTTTCCACTTTTAATTCAGCCACAACATCAGAATTCATATTTTTAGCAACCTATTGATTTTGCTGGATTCTGCCCCAAATGTTTTATCTATACACACACATACCAAATAGACAAATAAATACTTGATGCATGTTTTAATTTAATTGTATCTTGCTTTATGAGATGAAGCTTTCCTAGGATTAGTTAAAATATAGGAGACAAAACAGTTGAATGCCTGACATTTATTGTCTATAGCTATCTATATGTTCATAGGTAAAACACTAAGAAAATGTGAGCACATAGAAAAGATTAGCACATCTACATCATCATTATTTAACCCTGAGAAATTGGTGTTTGTTTCTCAGTGTATGAGGTAGGTTACTTGCTGGTATAGGAATATATCAAAAGAAGAAAAAGTATGGAAAACATGCAGCAACCATAAAACCTATATTGTGTGTAAAATGTTTCTTTTTTCACATCTTTAAAGTAGAGTAATGGATGGAAACTAATCAAGGAGAGAAGCAACCTGGAACTTAGGAGAATTTTCCTGACAGTTAAAACATAAGATTTTTGAACCCTGAAATAAGCACTTGGCCTTATTGCCATGCACTCAAAAGCCCAATTGGGCTTATTATCAGGGGATGTCTTATTTTGGGGAAAACAGGGTAATATTTGGAATGACTTGCCTCCCGAAGTTGTGGTGCTCCAACACTGGACATTTTTAAGAAGAGATTAGACAACCATTTATCTGAAGTGGTATAGAGTTGGACTAGAAGACCTCCAAAGTCCCTTCCAACTCTGTTATTCATGCAACTATAGCAACAGGAAATGCTCCCTAGAAAGTCCATAAGAGGAATGCTGAGACAGGAAAGCCGGACTGCCACCTATTGCAATCCTGTTAAGCTGAATCAACAATTTCATTCATATAGTAGTCTAATTGAAAGTTGTTGATTCAGCCCCAAGGCACAATATAACATACTAATACTTAAATGCCTGGCTTTCCAAAATATGCTATTCCAAAGCACATTTTTCCATGAGTGATGGGTGAATTAAATGTGTTACTGATGCAATCATAATATTTCTTTTATATTAGGCATAACAAGAAATGTGCACTTCTTAAATATTATAGGACATGATGACAAAGTCAAGGTATTGCTTCTTTTTAAGGAAAATTGAGAAAACAATTTTAAAATCTTAATGGAAATATGCATACATTATCTGGTTTTAGTCAAATTAGATTTTCTAATGCCTACTGGTTAATTATTAAGGGGTACTTTATAAAATTGAATTGAAATGGGAAATAAAGAGTGTTTTCAAAATAGTATGTGAGGTGGTAAACAACTTCTACTGACAATAGTAGCAGATTTTTTTTTCTGCAATGGAAATGATGGGTTATTATGGCATTTGTAACATGACTTATGAGATGTGAAATTGATCCCTTTTTTAATGAAAACATGCTAATTTTTACTTTTTCTTACAAATGGCAATTTAGTTTGATATGTTTGTCAATGGGGATTATTTTCCTTCTTTGAAAGCATAACTGAGTGTTCCCATATTCAATCTGTTACAATCTCAAAGAATCAACAATTCAGCACATGAACCTGTCACAATCTTTGGGTCACAACTACCATAATACATCATTTAAGTGATGCCAATGAGGTTTGTGTGCAGGAAGAAAATAGGTATTGAAGGATTGTTCAAACATAGAAAGTTATACTTTTCATCTTAAAAAACAAAGGGTAGAATACTTTACTCATTTCCTTTCCCTGTCCCTCTTTGTTGCTTATGGAAACTTTAGTTAACCTTTGCATTGCTATTCTAAAAGTAATTTGCATTACTTCAAGAATTTAGTGCTTATCTCCTTCCAATCAATAGAAAATCAAGTGGCATAATTGTAGGGCATTTAAAAAAAAATCAACACCCTTAAAAAAGATTGAATTAAATAATGTCAGTTTGTAGCAGCAGTTTAAAACATTCTCTGTCTTTTGGAGATAAACCCAATTGTAACTTTGTTAATTGAATAGAATATATTGCCTGCAGTTGTGACCCATTGCATTAAAAGCCAAGCAATAATGTTTGGCACTAAACACATTGTTTATTGATTTTTGTTTCCAGCTCATCCAAACAATCAGTGCAGTAGATAAAGATGATGCTATGGAAAACCATAATTTTTCATTCTATTTGATGGAAGAGAGCAAAAACGGTTCCAGTTTTGAACTTGAAGATAATGAAAGTAGGTATTAAATGTGTTTTTGAGATATTTTAATTCATTTCTTTTTCATTATTAGACTAGAAACAGAACTTTCATATCAAAGGAGTGTTTACTTACTTGCTTACTTTGCTTACTTTGAAAAATGGCTTCCAAGGGCACCACTACTCTGGGTTCTCCCCTCTGTTCACATCAGCAGCTGCCATGGCTCAGAATCACAGCCAGAGATACATCTCCTCAAAGGAAAAAAAAAAGTCCAATTGCCTTTTGGAAAATACCTTTGGGATGACCATCATCTTTTCACTGAGAATGTCCATAGACTCCTGAGGGCTATTAAAGATCCCTTCTCCATGCACTTTGAAAACTTCTCTTTGCTGTGTGCCAATTGCAGGAATTGTCACTGAGTAGTTTCTCTTGGCTACTTGGCAGCCTCTCTTTCCCATTTACTTGGTCATCCTGAACACTGTTATAGTCCTGCTCTTGTTCCTCAGCTGTATTCCCTGCTGGGTGGCATGGCAACACTCAGCTAAGTACCCTACTCACCTGTTTCCAAGGGGCTAGCTTCCATTTCCTCTGTGCCTGCTTCATTGCATGTAATATGTGGGCCTAATTCATCTCCAGATTATGACGCCTGACAACTGACAGCCACTCTTCCTCTTTGTCTTTGGAGGTCACTATTGCCATGCATGTGTCCTTGGCAGTGACACTGCTGCTGGTTGTGGACATCTTTATATGGACATCCTTATCTTGAACACTGTTTTGCCCCACAGTGGGTATGACTGTTGTGGTAGTCCATATGAGATGTGGGATGTCTTAGTGGGCATCTTTTGTTAATAATGGTAATAATGGTGGATCTTTTGCTAATAAACCTCAATGTTTAAATGAGACATTTAAAAATGGCCTTCGAGAGTCCAGTGATCTATTTTGAGAGATTGTTCATATCATAGTAAATTCTCACTACCAAAAATAATTATCCAGAGGCTAGAAGGTCATCAGAGGTGCTATGGATTGACAAGCTGATTTGAGTTATTCGAAGAGCTTTGGTTGTAAAATGTTGTGAAGTGTGATTGATAACAAAAACAGACAACCATAGAAGAAATTATCCAGGGAAGAATTAGAGGTGACAAGAGAAAGTACCAGATCTCCCAATAATTTTCCTCTGGTTTGTTATAACCAGCATGCTATTTTTTATTCCCTAAATTTATTTCCACTATTTTCTCTAAGCTCTAGGTCATCTCTACTATAAAGTCATAAACTCTGTTCAGTTTTGTTATCCATTGCTTTAAAGTATAAGATTGTAATCCCTTGAGGAATTCCTAGCTAAGAAATATTATCTGTTCTGTCTTGTGTTGTTGGGATTTTTTTTTACCAGAGGCCAAGTCTTTGTGACTGGGTCATATATGACTTAAGATACTGGTCAAGCTGGGTACATGATCTCTGGCTTCTAAACAGCATTTATTATTAGGCTTATTTTTTAGTAGGCAAGGGTGCAGATAAGTCAGTGATAGTAAGTTTAGAGATATAGTTTTCCTGCATAAAGAAGCTTACATTAGCCATGAGCTGAAGTAATAACCGCTAGTATAAATACTTGATCTGAAGCCAACTATAGGCCCCGAAAAATCATTTTTGTGGTCCTTTGTACTTTCCTCTGTATAGACATAATCCTTTTATTCATCCTTCCTTTTTTAATTTCTCTGTCCTCTGGCATTGCCTCTTTTTCTGCTTGCTCTCCTTGAGAGATAGCTTTCCCCCAGGGTTAAGGAATGCTTTCTGAAAAGGAAATAGGTATTGGTGAATCAGACTACTGATTTACAAGATATGAATATTATTTTCATGATCTTTGATATGATGTATATGAGCAGCAGACAGAAAATGTAACTCTCTTCATTATTATATTTTTGATTATTAAATCTATCCTCTATAAAATACCCTATTAACTTATTTGCCTATGAGAACTCAATATTGTCTGTTATATCAAATATAAAGGAAAAAGAGTTGTGGTCTGTTACATTTACTTTCTTTTTATGGAAAAAAAAATCTACACAAGAATGGCTGAAAATAGGGTGCTTGGTAGGACCTCCAATAAGTTATTGAGATATACTTGGCATCATTGAAAAGTATAATCGATTAGGCTCTTATTTTAAGAATTTTAAGAGCTATTTTATAAATCTGTAAATCAGGTTCTTCTTTTTAAAAAATGCACAAACCAGTGGTGAAATCCCCCCCCCCCAGTTCTATCCAGCTCACCGAACCAGTAGCACCGGTGACAGGAGGCTCCACCCAGCCACCAGGATGTCATTATATCCCATTTTTTACCATCTGTGCATGCACAGAAGGTTCTGCGCATGTGCAGAAGGAGTGCACGCATGCATAGCGCGTGCACACTCCCACATGTTCCCGTTCCCGAACTGGTAGCGAAGATAAGTGGATTTCACCGCTGATACAAACCTATTTGATAGTTTCATAGTTGCTTTCTAAATATGGCAAAGTTTCATAGGAAGATCTTTCTATTATTTGGTAAAGCTGCCAAGTGCTGAGTGGTACTAGAAAAGCATATAGAAAAGCAAAGTGATTTAAAATGAAGCAAAGGTGTAATATTAATAAATGCTTAAACTACATTTGCTAAAATGAAATGAAGTAGAAAGAAATGAAATTCATAATTATATAACTTTTTTTTTAGTTCTTTCTACTGATGTCATGGTGGGGATGACTTTTCTGTGCTGTGGTGATATGCAGCATTCATATGGATCCTGAAAACTGAGAAAGAATAATGTAGGGGATACCAATTTAAAAAAAAAAAAAATCTGAGGGGAAAATCTAAGTTGAACAGCTGATAAAAATTGCAGCAAAAAAGATCACTAAAGGTAGCCTGCAGAGAAGAAGAGCTATTTCTAATTCAGCCAAAGCATACATTGCTCATATTTACTTTGCTAATTATATAAATGTTCTGGCTAACTGAATAAATCAAGAAAGTTAACTTCTGGAAAGTTCATGGTGGTATAAATAAGAAGTGACTTGTTCACTTTTGGACTTGATTAAAATGTCCCATAACAAAATATGGTGTCCTGAATCCCACACCATCATATTTAAGTACAATTTCCTAAAGGACTATTGATATTATATAGGTAAAATGTGTATTTTGTAATTTATATCTGGCCCTGATTTGGGCTTTAAGTTAATATATACCTCAGAAATTAGCACACCAGTAAATCCTCTAAGTTCAGAAGTTAGTATTCCATGATTAACTGTCAATGATAGCACCCTACATAAAGGCATTTCACTACTCATAACCTATGTATAGTACATGCCCAAATATCGCTTCACAGTGGTGCAGCAATAGTATGATTTATCAAGGCACTTCATGTTGTTTTGGGGCCTCCTCCATCATGTCTAGAAGCCAAATGAGGCAGACAAAGTTATGGAAAAGGAACAGAAGATTCACTTTGTTCTTTAGAAGCAGAACACAATTGTGTTCTTCAACAAAGCAGCTTTGAAGGAGTATTTTGCTCTAAGCACTGTCTTTGAAAGTCTTCACAGCTTTATTAGTGTTATTCCATTTTATAAGTTACCCCAGCTACTCATAAATAAATATAATATTCAAGTCCAGTTTAAAGCATTTTCCAAAGCACATTTTTAAAATAGTAATAAAACAAAATATTTTAAGCTCAGGAGTTCAGTCTAAGCAAAGATATCATCTGTTTAAAAATGTCTGTGTGAAATTTTATGTATTCATCAAAAACAATGGGGACACCAATGACAGTGTCAGGAATTGTGGAAAATGATGCAATAGTGGCAAAAAGAAATATTTTATACAACTCCCTCTTTCCAGAGAAAGTGAAGATACTGCAGAACTGAAAGTCAGGTTTTTGTTATACTGTAAAGGTAAAGTTCCCCTTGCACATATGTGCTAGTCGTTCCTGATCTAGGGGGCGGTGCTCATCTCCGTTTCAAAGCCGAAGAGCCAGCACTGTCCAAAGATGTCTCCGTGGTCATGTGGCTGGCATGACTAAACACCAAAGGTGCACAGGAATGTGTTACCATCCCACCAAAGGTGGTCCCTATTTTTCTACTTGCATTTTTTTACGTGCTTTCGAACTGCTAGGTTGGCAGAAGTAACGGGAGCTCACCCTGTTATGCGGCACTAGAGATTTGAACCACTGAACTGCCGACCTTTCGATCGACAAGCTCAGTATTTTAGCCACTGAGCCACCACATCCCTCTTGTTATAATGTACATTTTAATTTTTTTTTACTATTGTTATATTGGTAGAATTTACAAGAATACAAATTTGCATCTTTTAAATTCAGTTTGAGAATTTTGCACTGAAATTGATTTGTCCATAAATAGTTTTTTTTTTTTTTAATTATTGTTTTACAGATAACACTGCCAGGATCCTTACTACAAGAAGTCGATTCCATCATTCTGAACAATTTCTTTATCCCTTGCCCATACTAATTGTGGACAATGGAATCCCTGCTCTCACTGGAACCAGCACTTTAACGGTCACTGTGTGTGATTGTAATGAAGAAGTTAGCCTTTTGTCCTGTAGATATGGATCATTCCTGATTTCAATGGGGATTAGCATACAAGCTTTAGTTGCTATTGTGGCTTGCCTACTCATAATATTAGGTAATTTTTTTTCTTCTGTTTTATGCAAAACACATCTCTGCTACCTTTTCATTGATTAGACCAGGGGTGTCAAACTGAAGGTCTTAAATCTGCTTAAATCTGGCCCATGGGGCCGGCCTGGAAGTAGCAAAGGACCAGCCCGCAGTGCCTCTGGCAGCCAAAATGGGGTGCATTTTTGGCTGGATGGCCTTCTGCAGCACTTTGCCAGCCACAACAGGGCACCGGGGTGGGGGGTGGGGTGGGCTTCAGGAGGACATCCAAGCCAAAAATGGGGCACAGGGGCTGTGTGCAGGTCCCCCATGTCCCTTTTGGCCGGCAGGGTGCTGCAGGAGGTGTCCTTCTCATCTCCACCCCCCCAGGCCAGCCCCCAGGGGAGAACTGCAATGCTGATCCAGCCCTCAAAGAAATCCCGTTTTGACACCCCTGGATTAGACCATGCTGCTTATTTTGGTAGATGACAACATTATGGCTTGGTTCCAGAACATGATAAGATGAATGAAACATCTGAGCTCTTCTGCCCTTTTTTCTTACCAGCCTCCAGTGATCCCCTCCCAACTCCCAACCCCCAACCTGTGGCAAATAACTTGGTGGCTGTGGCACTGGAATGAAGAGAGAAGGGAAAAAATGTTGAAAACTGGTGGAGAAAGATAGATTTTGTCCAAAACACTCCACAATGACTTTGGTTTGATTTTTTTCAATGTGACCTCTTTGCTCATCTCTTCCCCAAGCTAACTCATAATATTCACCACTGTCCACAGTTCATTAAAGCTCATTTCAGTGGACGCTGGAGGCTGGTCAGAAGGGGAAAAAAGAAACGGAAAGTCAATTTTAACCTCCTCTGTTCTACAGAAGGATATCTAGCTCCAACATAATGTATCAATTATGTTTAGACATTTTCATCAGTCACACTATTTAATCTAAACATCTGTTTGCACATTACTTAGATTATCAGTTGACACCTAAAAATATGACCTCATTCCATCACAGACACAATTTAACTAACCACATAGTTGGCTAGGATTTGCATGTTTGTTCTTTGCAGACTTCTCAAATATTTGCTAATCTTTTTTTTCCTGTTTTGTTTGCTTGCTTGCCAGTATTTGTTTTAGCAGTTGTGGCTTTGAAGCACCAAACAAAGCCAGCAGCATTTCACGAGAAAGGAGAAATATTCAGAGAGAATATTTTCAAGTATGATGATGAAGGAGGCGGAGAACAGGACACTGAGGCTTTTGATATTTCTGCACTGAGACCACAAACTGTTCTGCGACAACACAAGCCACGAAGAAATATTACAACAGAAATCCAGAGCCTTTACAGGCAATCTCTCCAAGTTGGTCCTGAAAGTGCAATATTCCGGGAATTCATTCATCAAAAGCTAGAAGAAGCTAATTGTGATCCAGATGTTCCTCCTTATGATTCTCTCCAGATTTTTGCTTTTGAAGGAACTGGTTCATTGGCTGGATCCCTTAGTTCATTGGAATCAAACTCAGTGGGATCACTTATGGATGACCATTTTGATTACATTGTTGAACTAAGACCTCAAGTCAAAAGTTCAGGAAGCATGAATAACCACACTTCAGCAGAATGGTGAAGTGTTAAGAAGTGCTAATATCAAAAGAGTGGGAAAGAATTGGAAGGGTGATTAGGATAATCTGAAGACAGATTAATTGATGGCTCTGCCAAGCACTGTTAAACTCAGCACAAATCTTATTGCTGACACATCCTTTTCTAATACACACTATCACAACTGGAAAAAATATGTCAACACATGGGAATAAGAGATCAGCCACACACATTCTTAAAAAGAAGATTCTGAAATAAATAACAAATTGCGCTACTCTCAGATTACCTTTTGGGTCTTAGTAGGCACGGGGATATTTTATTTTGCAAAAGTCATATTAAAATCATGAACAGAAAAAGTATTTTCTAAGAAAGTTTTCAGAAAGACATTAGAGTGCAGAATTTTAATTTTTGAACTATTTACAAAACTGTAGCTATATTGATTACAGTTTAATTATCATCATAGTAAACTAATATATGCACACACACTTTGTTTTAAAAGATAAATGCAATTATATGGAATTATATATGAATGAATTTAGAAACATGAAAAATAACGTGGGTGAACTGGAAACCTGGAGGAAGATCAAAATAATATGTGTTTTACATTATCAGGTATAGGTAAATCCCCAGATCAAACCTCCTATATTTTCCTACAGTTGTCTTAAGTCTTACAGCTTTTTTCCCCCCAGATAAATTAACCAGTTTGCTATTACACAAAACTTAGCATTTGATTGTTGCTTATGTCTCTACATATTCTTTAGAATATAAATTATTTTATTTTTCTAAAACACTCTAGAATAAAAGCACGGTTTGTTAATAAATTTTGTGGAATCACTGTACTGGAATTAGAGATTGAACAGTTGCAAGATATTATTTGAATTTGTGATTCAAGGATCAGATAAAAGTTATTCAAGTTTCAATATTTAATTACATTTTAAAACATTGATCATGGAGTATTATGGGAAAATATTAACATGTTTGTGACTGCTACTCTTGGGAAAATGGAATGAAAATAACAAAAATCTATATAGGATATTAAAACCAAAGTGTTACATAGCTTCAAGAATTCCACCACAATCAAATTTTAAAATATTCTATGTATCTCTTTTAAAGCAGCAATCGGTTTAGACAAAAAAGACTAAAGCAGTCTTTAGATTGTTAGCAAATAGCCTACATAGAACTGTACTGAACCACTGCAGAAAATGAAAGGAAGGGAAGGGAAGGGAAGGGAAGGGAAGGGAAGGGAAGGGAAGGGAAGGGAAGGAAGGAAGGAAGGAAGGAAGGAAGGAAGGAAGGAAGGAAGGAAAGAAAGAGAAGAAAGAGAGAGAGAAAGAAAGAAGGAAGAAAGAAAGAGAAAGAAAAAGAAAGAAAGAAAGAAAGAAAGAAAGAAAGAAAGAAAGAAAGCTTTTGTTAAAGATTAAAGAGTTTACCATCTGGACTTAGAACCTACAAGCTTATTGGTGCCTTATTGTCAAGGTTAGCCACACTTGTTTATGGAACAATTTAAAAGCATGCATGAGAAGCAAGTGCATCAAGACTTCTTTGTACATGATACAATATTATATAAAGGAATACTCTTATTATACGCAATAGACTAAAAACCAAGCACTTTATCTAAGAGTCATTTATTTGCTGAAAATACTCACTCTCAGGCAAAAAGAAAAGCAGGCTTTTTCTCCTGTTTAATATTTTGAAGGGATGGTGGAGAGAATGCAAAACAATATTAGGAAAACTCAGATATTGTCTTACTATTCAGTTATTTGGTAGTTAATGAATGATATGAATTTGAGGAAGAGGCGATAAGAGAGAGAGAGAGAGAGAGAGAGAGAGAGAGAGAGAGAGAGAAAACCAAGCAAAATAAACTCAAAGCTGTCCCTTCTTTTGTCCTTCCAGGCAGACCTACATTTTAAAAAATCTAACTGAAAAGTAAGAAACAAATAACAAAATAATATTCCCCCAAGTATTTTGATAAGCAGTGTTGATGAAGGAGATAAACCTCAATGGCTCATATCAATATTGGATCCCATGACATCATTCAGATCCCATGAGGTCATTCTGCAACAATGTTTAAACATGGAACATATGCTGATTCCCAAATCTTCTTTGAACTCTGAAACAATTAAAATCATCTGATTCAGTTCAATGTCTCAGAGAGATTTGATTTGAAGGCAAAATCTGATGGAATCTCATGAACTTGAAGATCCTTTCAAAGCTTTGCAAAACCTTCATAGTCAACTTGTATTCATAATTGCTAGTTTTCAAAATTCATTTAGAAATTTATTGATTTCTCACTGGCAGAAATCTGAAAAAGTTAAAATTGAGCAATTTCTAAAACAAAGCAGTATTCACTTTAATTTCACTAACCAGCTTGTGTTACAGTATATATAAAAACAAAGGCTATTCACATCTACTGTAGCTCTTCCCTTCTTAAAAAATGATTGACTTCCCAGTCAATTATTTTATTTTTATTATAGAATATAAAATTAGCTTCAGCAATCATTTTTATTATCAGAATATTTTAAAAAAAACCTTTTAAAAATGCTGACATAAAATTTTATGTATAAAATTAGTTAATATGCTAATACAAGGCATTAATGTTAATCTAGCTCTTTAGGAAAGGATCCCATCCATTAAATCTCTCCAAAATTAAATTAAACATTCCTATTGTATTGTTTGTATGCACAGTCTCTAGACAGAATAAAATTGGCCTCAAACTATTGTTCTCTGTTATTACATCTATAATTTAGATTGGGAAATTGAAAAAGTTCCTAAATCTGTAATGGTTTTTCCATTTTTTAATGGATGATTAACACAGAATGTGTCAACCCAATTTTAAGTTAACACAATTTAAAAAACCATCCAGTGCATTCAAACAAATCCAGTGAGAAAAGGCTTGTACATCTTTATTTACCTTGTTTTTATTCAGTGTTTGTTTCATAGCCACAGCATCGTATAATAAATGGAGCAACTCCAAACTCTAAAACCGTCATTGTAATAAGGAAAGTCAACCAACATTTTTTTTCCTTCCTCCAATTAAAAGAAAAGTGATGCAACAATGGAAAAGCAAATGTACAATTCTCCTGATCCTGTTGGATGTCTCAAATGGCTTCAATCATGGAATTCTTCTGGACTGGCAGGAGAATTGGTTGGGAAGCATTATACTGCTCTTTCCCACGTGGTCAGTTCCAGTTGGTGGGGAAGGGCAAGATTAAACACTTGGACATTTTGTTTGGGTTATTGCAGGGCTCAGGCCTTTCCATCTTACACAGAGCCGCTAAAAAAGATCACCCATTACCTTCCAATAAGATATTTTTAATATTGTACATCTACATACCTGGTTGTACAGATGATGTGGTCCTAGCTCAGCACAAGAGCTGTTAGGGATTGGATGTGGAAAAACAGATTTAATCCCAGAAAGTTGGAGTTGCTGAAAACTTGGAAGCCTTCTGATTCTAGAAATCATCTTGCTCTGATTGGGTTATATTCTGCAAATGTAGCTAGCGTGCAATCTTGGGTTTCTGTAGAGCTCATGGCATTGGTTTAAAAGCAAGGGAATAATATGGGGCAAAAAACTATTTTCACAATTACACTTTTCCCCCCTGTTACTTGTGACCAAGAGTCTTTACTCGTGATCATTCATTCCTTTGTCATTTTATATCTGGATTATTGAATGATCTACATGGGTATAGGTAATGAGTCATAAGTCAGTCATGTATATGAGATGTCATAGAAAATTGATAAATAAATTTGAAAGCTGGTTCAGCAGGCAACAGTTGAAGTACAATAGCACCCCTTGGTTCATTTAATGGAAGTTGGATGGTTGTTGTCAGCATCTTGGTGCAATTCAAGACAATGACCATCATCTTAAAAAAAATAATGGATAACTCTGAATTTGCCTTTTCTGGCATGAATCTGCACATCCAGCAAGATCGGGGAGAAAAGGTGTATATAGGATCTCACCACTGTAGGATCATCTGCAAGGTTCCTGGAACTGATTCTTCTCAGTAATGCCTCCCACATCTGGAACCAAGTATTCAGGATATTCAGCTCAAACCCCCTTCTTAAGTTAAAATATGGCTCTTTATGAGGTTATTTGGGGTTGAAATGGATTACACTACCATCAAGGCATAACAACATTGGGCTGATTGTTATTGTTGATCTGTGATGTTTTAGTTCTCATTCTGTATTTGTTTTTCTGAGCCACTCAAAGTCTCTAGACTGCAGAGCATAAAATCCAATGTAAGTAAACAAATGTTGTTACACACAAAAACAATATCTAAGAGAAATCACAGTTTTATTGAAAACCTCCATATTGTTATATCCAATATTTATCCAATGATTTAGTGTTCTGGGTTCACCTGTACATTACACATTTAGAAACCACCAATTACTTTTGTCCAAATCCCTAAAGCATTTCTCAGGGCACTTTGACTTTTTTCAATTATTTATCTTATAAAGCTTCTGTGATAAATAAAAGGGAGTCCTTCTACTAGCACTATATAGCTCTCTATAGCTTTTAATAGCTCTGAAAAGAAAATGTCTATGTGGATTGTGGCATAGTGGAAAACAATTAGATTTCCCTTGCCTGTATCATACCTCTGATCTCACTTTTTCTTTCACCTTACAAGGACATATCTACTTAAGGATTTCAATCAAATAGAATAGAACTGGAAGGGACCTTGGAGGTTTTCTAGTCCAACCCTCTGCTCAAACCGGAGACCATATACCATTTCAGACAAGTGGCTGTCCAGTCTTTTCTTAAAAACCTCCAGTGATGAAGCATCTACAACTTCTGAAAGCAAGCTGATCCACTGGTTGGTTGTTCTCACTGTTAGGAGGTTTCTCCTTAATTCCAGGTTGCTTCTCTCCTTGATGAGTTTCCATCCATTGTTTCTTAACTTGCATTCTGGTGCTTTAGAAAATAAGTTGACCCCCGTCTTCTTTGTGGCAGCCCCTCAAATACTTAAATACTGCTATCATGTCACCCCAGTCCTTCTTTTCTTTATATGTTTTAGTCTTCAGACCTTTAATCATCCTAGTTGCTCTTCTCTGCAAATCTCCTTTGGTACTTAGACAAAAAGTTTCCAATCATCAAAGTCACTATTGCTTAATACCTGTATTAAGATACTTGGAAGGCTGAATCAACAAGCCCTTTGCATATATGGATCACCCGCCCACTCTCTCTCTGGTCTGTGTCACATACTGTATGTTTGTATATTTATAATTATGTTTTCTGTCCTGTTTCTGTTAAACATGTATTTTTTAAAAAATG